ATTAATCTGTAACTTAGCAACTGTATCATAGCAACAGTAACCTAGCAACTGTAACTTAGCAACTGTATCATAGCAACAGTAACCTAGCAACTGTAACTTAGCAACTGTATCATAGCAACAGTAACCTAGCAACTGTAACTTAGCAACTGTATCATAGCAACAGTAACCTAGCAACTGTAACTTAGCAACTGTATCATAGCAACAGTAACCTAGCAACTGTAACTTAGCAACTGTATCATAGCAACAGTAACCTAGCAACTGTAACTTAGCAACTGTATCTTAGCAACAGTAACCTAGCAACTGTAACTTGGCAACTGTAGCTTAGCAACAGGCGCGCGCTATCTACGATCGCAAGCGCACGCGTACGTGTTAAGTTAAACTCCTCCCTTTCTATTTTGGGGGTGTGGCTTATTATATTATCTCACACTTACATTTCAACATTCTGTCTAATTTTCTCTATTCTTTATGGCCAAAGTAGCTCCTAAAATAGTAATCCTAGAAGAAGGGGAAGACGAAGAGACGGTATATCTCTCTCCTAGTCCTCGAGCTTCTCTCGACGTACAATATCATGCACAAGCAGTGCATTTTCAACGAATCGGCAGTCAGGCAGATGCGGAAGACCTAGATGAAGGTAGTCTCTCTGGCCAGGTAGGGACTCCTCACTCATCTAGACAAGGCTCTGGCTATTCGACAAATAGGAGGGAGGCCACCATTGCAAAGATAGCTAGAACTGCCACATTCGTACGTCGCTTAGCCCAAAGACATGATGAAAGTGTGCAAGGTCGCAACGAGCTTATGCAGTCCCTCAAGTTCAACCACAGCATGCCCATGGACGTGAGGTCCTCTTGTTCTACTCCACCTCCAGCCTCTTTGATTCTTGCTCATGAAACAGAAGAAAGAAGAGAGCGACGGAGAGAATGGTTGAGGGATAAAAAGGCAAGGCTGAAGCGTCTCTGGCGATTGTTTCGCTTCAATCCAATGAACACTCCGTTGCATTGTTGGCTACTGGTTGTAACTCTCACTGTACTGTATAATGCATTTGTACTCATTGTAAGACAAACCTTCACACAACTGCAGGACGAGGGATGGAAATTAGGGATATGGTTACTACTGGACTATACTGCAGATACACTCTACGTCATTGATATGATTATACAATCTAGAACAAGTAAGAAAGGGAATTTTTAACATCATTTTTGATCATAATTAGATCCATTTCAATGCTAAAATGTACCAATATTTTATGAACTGTGGACATTATCACTCAAATAGTTTATTTTTACTTTCCTCTAAATGATTTTCATTGTGATATGTGAATAATGATCTAAATATTCATTGTTCCATCCTTATATTCATGTGGCATCCTTTTCTTTTGTTCATGACTCCTCTTTCATCTTTCTCACAGGTTACATTGATAAAGGATTATTAGTCAAAAAAACTCCTCAAATGCTAATGCACTACATAAAATCCCGTGCCTTTAAACTTGATGTCGCATCTCTGATACCTTTTGATTTCCTTTATCTTATTCCAGCTGTTGGCCCAGGCTACCTGATAGTGAGACTCAATCGTATCTTAAGATTCCATCGTGTCTTTCAGTTCTTCCATCAAGAGGAGAGTAGAACCAACTACCCCAATGTCTTACGCATTATAAACCTACTGATGTACCTGTCACTGTTCATACATTGGAACGCCTGCTTTTATTTCCTCATATCCAAAGGGATTGGATTTGGAAGTGATGAGTGGGTAAGAGAAAGAAGATAGAAAGAGTGAAGTGTATATGAGATAATGAGTGACAGAGAGAGAGAGAGAGGATGTAAGGAAAGCCTTTATGAATCTAGTTATAGACAAAATTTAGCTATTATGATAAAATGAAAAAATTTGAAAGTACGTCACCTCCTCTTCTTTATATAACAGGTCTACCCCAATACTACACTAGAAGGCTATGACAGTCTCTCCCGTCAGTATCTCTTCTCTCTCTACTGGTCGACACTTACACTGACCACAATAGGAGAGCTCCCTGGACCGGTCATTGAAGTAGAGTACCTTTTTGTCATCTTCGATTTTCTAGCTGGCGTCCTCATATTTGCAACCATCATTGGACTGATTGGTGGAATTATCAGCAACATGAACATACGAAAGACTCAGTTTCAGCATAGACTGGACAATATCAAGCAGTACATGAGATATCGTAATGTTGATAAGGCGCTTCAGAGGCGAGTCATAAAATGGTTTAATTATTTATGGACTAATAACCAGTCGATGGACGAGGCTTCAATATTAGAGTCACTGCCTGATAAACTGCATGCTGAGATTGCTATACACGTTCATTTTGAGACTTTACAAAGAGTTAAGATATTCGAGCAATGCGAGGCAAGCTTCCTTGAAGAACTGGTATTAAAACTAACGCCACAAGTAAGGAAAGGGAGAAAGAGAGAGGGAGGGAGAGAGAGAGTGACATGGTAAAAGTATCAATGCTACTAGCCTACTATTATATTTGAATATACAAAAACTAGTTAGCACATTCCTTTACTTTTATTGCTCAATGAATAATTGAAAATGCAACAATGAATACAAGAAAACATTTTTGCTAGTTATTCATTGTGTACATGTAGCAAAATTAGTATTAAGACTGGAATGCAATATACATTTAGGTATACTCGCCTGGTGACTTTGTGTGTCGAAAAGGTGACGTTGGTAAAGAGATGTACATCATTAAGAAAGGAAAACTTGAAGTGCTAGGAGACGATAACGAAACAGTAGCTACGCTGTCTGATGGCTCTTACTTTGGTGAGATAAGCATACTCAATATAAAGAAGAAAGCTGGCAATAGGAGGACTGCAAATGTTAGATCATTAGGATACTCTGACTTATTCCGTTTATCTAAAGTAAGAAATTGTAGTGTAATATTAAATGTGTATCTTAAAGGCTTTCATGCACAAACTTTGATCTTGTAAGCAATGTTTTGCCAAGAATAGAAGATGTTCTATTTGGCAGCGGTTGCTTGGTTGCTAGCAACAAGTTGCATCATGTATGAAGGCTATAAAGTCAATTTATAAATACATGTATGTCCTGATTTTAAGGATTTTGAAGTACTAAACATATAATTTAAAATGTGCCACAGATATTAGGACATCAGCTTAGTCTAAACTCAAGCAATATTTTGTCTATAAAGTTGCTTTTGAGTAGTTACATATTTGTGGTCTAGCAGCAATAAACAAACGCACTGTGTGTGTTTCGTTTTGATTAACTTTGTAATGAAACGGTAGCATAAGTTCATTACGTGTTTATTGACTCACACATTAGTAAACTATTACTTTTATTGCATGAGTAATGATAACACATCTTGAATGTCACTCACATAATCTCTGCAATATGTCACTTGATGGTGTCTAAGAGCAGTAGCTTGCTAAATTAAAAAAAAAAGCAAAGTCCATGGTTTTTTTTCAAAAAATGGGTTCAAAATCACCCCAAATTTTTATTACATTTTTTGATACATATTGATGTCCTTATGCTATGTAGAAAGTTTGAGCTAATTCCGACTTCAATTTTTCAAGTTATGGCCATTTTTTAAAAGAGCCAAAATCTGAAAAATACCCTGTACTATAGCCCATGGTTTTTTCCGAAAAATGGCTCCAAAATCACCCCAAATTTTTATTACATTTTTTGATATATATTGATGTCCTAATGCTGTGTAGAAAGTTTGAGCTGATTCTGGCTTCAATTTTTCAAGTTATGATCATTTGTAAAAGTGAACCAAAGGGGACATAAACTCAACCTTGAAACTAAAAATTGTACAGTAACAGTAACTATACACTACTACCGGTATTATATCATTATTCCATTCATTCCTTAGGCTGATCTATTAGAGGTTTTGGAGGAATATCCCGACGCCAGATCAATACTGGAAAGAAAAGCAGAGGAGACTCTTCAACGCTATGGATCAACTGAAGAACCATCAGAAGAGGAGGAGGAGGAGGAGGAAGAGGTAATGAAATAGTTTAAAGACCTTAGGTTACGAGCTTAGAGTACATAATAAAAGACAATGTTTAAAACGTGAAATCTGTCTATTTTTGCAACAAGTTAATCAAAGTGATATATACCACATCTGCTATTAGCAATGAAATACCTAGTGCATGTTGGATAAAAATTTAAAATTAAGCATGTTTTCTTTGTACCATAGACTATTGATGAAGGAGAGGAAGGCGAGGCTCAAGCCGTTACAGAGGAGACAAACGTGAAATTGAAAGAAATGGAACAAAAAATGCGACAACTAAAAGGACGATTGAACAGTTTAGTAAACGAGTATAACACATTTCAGGCTAAGATAAAACAAAGGGTCTCGGCACTAGAAGGAACAAGATGAGTTTCTGTAATTTTAGATGGCAACCCAATAAATTTTTATATCACTTTCATTCAAATTTGAATCTATAATAATAATAATATTTTTCTGATTTGTATCATCGAAATGGGAAAAATGTATCTGAAAGAAAGTAAATTTCATCTTTTTACATTTGTTGGTGCCACCAGAGGTGGCAATAAAAATAATTAAGACAAGATAAATTAATAATAATAATAATAATAATAATAATAATAATAGAATGAGCTGATACTCTCTCTCTCATTAAGTTTCTAGAAAGAAATATTTCCCTGATGACTTCTGCTCTACATCCTATACAACAAAAAAGAGAAAATCCAACCTTTTCCTCCTTACTAAATTAGCAAAAATTAGTACACTATTATTATCAAGAGCAATGCACTCTTGTTATTATTAAAAGTGGACTTAAAAGTGCTTATTACAAATATTAATCTTTCTTCATACATGTATACACCAACTTATTAAATTAAACACATCTCTCTCTCTCTCAACTTACTTTGACTGAATTCTTTTTGTTGATTCGTGGGCGATAATTCTCACTGTCTCTCCTAAAGGTGATCTCCAGTGCCTGAAGGAACTGGTTCATCCCAAGAAGGAGCGACGTGGGCGAGTTTGCTTGAGTTTTAATGGACGGAGTTCCCTCAAAAACAATGACCCTGTCGGCTAGGTATGTCGCCATTATGAAATCATGCTCTACGACAAAAGCTGTCTTTTTGGCGTGAAGAATAAACCTGAGAGACAGAAGACAAGACAAGAAACAGAAACAAGAATGAAAAGAGAAATACAGTGTAAAACTACATTGTATATCTGTATCAACAAAATAAACGCCTATACATGTAGAAATGAAATGTATGAGAAAATACTTAAGTACTGTACCTCTTGATAACTTTAGCAGCAATGATACGCTGCTCAGAGTCTAAATAAGCCGAGGGTTCATCAATAAGATACACATCAGCCGGCTAATGGAGGGAGAGAGACAAAGAGAGAGGGGGGGCATGTTCAGTACACAATTTCAAGGAAAATAGTACAATGTACATGTACATTAACAGATGTACATGCACTTAAATTAGTTTACTAGGACACACAAAGATAAACACAGAGTAGAGGCTAAAGGTCAAATATACAATTATACAAACATGTATTTAGACTATAGTACAGACTAAAGGTCAATAATATAAAATTTAAATTATAGTACAAATGTCAATCGTCAATGCTTAAGTTATACTCACTTGTCCTAAGCTTAGAGTAATGGCTACTCTCTGTAGCTCTCCTCCCGAGAGATTGAGTACTTCTTGGTCCATGATGTTCTCAATCTGAAGCGGTTTCATCACGTCGGTAATGAACTGGGGATGGATGTACGAGTCCCTGATCTTATTGTGAAGGAGCTGGCGAACGGTCCCCGGGAACTTCGGACTTATCTTTTGAGGCTTGTAAGAAATGTTTAGTTGAGGAACAGTTTCTATAGGAAAAGAGAAGGAGAGAGAGAGAGAGAGAGGTTGTACAGTATGAGAAAGGAGACACGTGTTTTTAAAAATACTATTCTTGTAAGGAATTTTAAAATTCCATTTAGCATAATTTGCACTTTGAAGTCTTCCTTGATATGGCTTCGGTCTTAATATTTAAAAAAATAATTAGCAAAAATACAATTAATAAAATCCAACGATTGGAATTGATTAAAAGCACAATTAGCATTAATTGATAATCTATGTATAATACAATGGAGATATTACCATCAGTGTCAGGTGCTAGATGTCCCGCCATTAATCTAATAAAAGTCGTCTTCCCAGTCCCATTCTCTCCCAGCATTACGATGATCTCGCTGTCTGTGAATTCTCCTGATTGGACATCAAGCTCAAACGAGCCCAACTTCTTGGACATCTTTGGATAGGAATAACGTCTCATTCTTTTAATCTCTTCCTACAGATAGACATGAGGTCAAATATATTAAAAGTACTAGTGTAATTACATGTGCACTATTACTAGTGACAAACATATAGTATGTACATGTATTTCTATCCTATTACTGTTTTATTAATTTTTTCGCAAAATTAAAATCTCATAAAAAATCCAATCTTGATTGTAATCAGCTCAAAGTTTCTACACAACTTAAAAACATGTATATCTATCGGAAAAAATTATAAAAATTAAGATTTCTCTCCTTTTCATTTTTGGTGAAATTTGGCCTAAGTCGCTGTACTATAGTACAGAGACTTTGCTCCCATTTTTGAGTAACTTAAAAAATTCGTAAAAAATCCAAACTTGATCAGAATCGGCTCAAACTTGCTACACGACATAAGAACATGTATATGCATCAGAAAAAATTATAAAAACTAAGAATTCTCTCCTTTTCATTTTTGGCAAAATTTGGCCAAAGTCCCTGTATATAGCACAGAGACTTTGACCCAATTTTTGAGTAACTTTGCAGCTTTGAATATAATAATTTATAACTGAACATTTTCAGTATATACAATACACACGTGCTGTCTCTGTCATACACTTACAGTGTCAGCTGTCTCCGAGACTTTAAATACTAAACTAGTTTCTCTGAATCGAAGGTTCTCAGACGGAATGAAACCGTCAAGAAATATGTTGATACCTTAAGAACAAAAGAAAGTGAGAGTAGGAGGATAGTGGAGTGATAGTAGGAAGAGAAGAGGAAAGAAAAAGTGAAAAGAAAGTGACAAAGTAATACACCAAGTGATACTTAGGAAGAGACAGGGAAACAGTGAATAATATACATGGAAGGGAGAGAGAGAGGAGAGAGAGAGGAGAAAGAAAATATACAGCACAACAGATTATAAATTTTCAGGGATACATGCATATTTTGCGAATCAGTCAAAATTAAGAGGTCAACCATATAAAATTTTGTAGCTCTGTGTACCAATTATCCTAATTTCAAGGCCATTTAAAATAACCAGCTACATATACATAAGTTATATTTCATGATATCCTTACCTTCTCTAACACCAGAAGGCAGTGTCACTACTCCATAGACTCCAGGGACTCCGTAAAGACAACAAATAAAATCAGAGAGATAGTCCAAGACACTCAAATCATGTTCTACTACTATCACATACCTTGAGAGGGAGAGGAGAGGATAAATGGAGTCAGTTACACTCTATTCCTAACCTGTCTTCATTCAGTAATTGTCTAATGGCTGAAGCTGCCTTTAATCTTTGTTTTACGTCAAGATAACTTGATGGCTCATCAAACATATAACTATAAAAATAATAATAATAATAATAAACTAATTTGTACATACCAACATACAAATCATACTATATAATTGTACTGTACACAAACAACTATCTTTGATGACACACACACACACAATTCAACATACACCACTGAATAAGATAGCAAATGTAATTACAAATAGTCAAACACAATAGCTAGCCTTTTGCCCACACAATCATGAATCAGATATTTTATAAAATGATTGGCATTTATTATCCATACAAGAACTGATGCAGCTGTGTATTGAATAGGAGGAGAGCATAACCACAAGTTTACTAAAATAGGTTAATACAGGACACAGTAAATGTACTGAGAGTAGCAGCTGCTACACACTAACCACCAAATTAGGTCATTCCATGCATTACCACACAAGTATGTTATTCAAATGTGGTGGATCCAGGTGGCTGTAGTATAGAGAAAGGGTAGGAGTATTTACAGGACATTATAATATGGTTCAATGGAGTACCACTACCATATCAGCCCTCAAATTAATTTTGTTAACAAGATTAATTAAAGATTGGCTCCCCACACACTAGGCAGTGCCTGTCTCCTCCCTTTATTAATTATTTATGATTATGATTAATATAGAATGTTTATTACTTCTCTCTCTCTCTCTCTCTCTCTCTCTCTCTCTCTCTCTCTCTCTCTCTCTCTCCCCCCCCCTACATGTCAGCTCTCTGTATACAGACTACAGCACAGGCAAAACGTTGGAGCTCTCCTCCGCTGAGATCCTCAATATTACGATCTCTCACAGCAGCAAGATCTGTAAAGAGAAAAAACAGAGAAGGAACAAAAAGAAAGATTTACATATTATACTATATCAGAACCAAGTAAAAACAAATTATTATTATTATTATTATTATTATTATTATTATGCTGCTGTTATTGTTAGCAGGTTTCTTGTTGATTCAGTTTCTTTGCTTACCAAATTGCTCGCACACTGACTCTAGCACCCCCATCTCATTCTTCTTATCCAGCATTCCGTTAACAGTCCCTTTGACAGCTTTAGGTATCTGATCAACATATTGAGGCTTAATACAAGCCTAATGAAGGAGAGAGTGAGAGTGAGAAAGAGAGAGAGAGAGAGAGAGAGAGAGAGAGAGAGAGAGAGAGAGAGAGAGAGAGAGAGAGAGAGAGAGAGAGAGAGAGAGAGAGAGATTGGGGGAAAGAGAAACCACAATAGGAAGACACTGTGATTTTAAAATGTATTACAATGTTCATATATGTACAAGCACATGGTGTACATGTACACACAGCAGATAACAAAAATAAATAATAAATAACTTTCCCAAATCGCAATGTATAATCAATAGATCGTTATCATTTACCTTTAAATCATACTCTACTATTTTAGTGAAGTAGTTTTGTAGCTCCGAGCCACGAAAGTGAGTGAGTATCTCCTGCCAACTGGGAGGATTCTGTATAAATACAACAAAAGAAAGTATGTACATGTACATGTATGATATATCATCAATCTTTCTCCCCTTCTACCTCTCTTTAAAACAATAATTATGCTCATCTTTCTTAACCCTCTCTCTCTTTTACATGCATCTTTCCTTCTCTACTCTAAAGTAATGGCTGTAGATTGACTTTTAAGTTACATAGCCTAGTACTATGCTACAGTTGGTCATTGTTACCAAAATAAAATGCTAGGATTAATGTGGACAATTAATTAGTCACGGAATATAATCTTTAACAATATTCACTAATTACAACAATTACAGTAATCAACAGAAAAGTCACTCTAAGGCACATTGCGTATATATTCCACCCCCCAAACTAACTGAGAACTGTCCAAGGTTAGGTTGGAGTTTCCCGGAGAGTATCTTGAGTGCCGTCGACTTCCCGATACCGTTAGTACCCACTAGACCGAGGACTACCCCCTGACGAGGGACGGGGAGACGGTGGAGCTTAAACGAGTTGGCAGAATAACGATGAGTCGTGTCCTTCTCGAGATTACTCGGTAGATTAATAATGACTATTGCACTAAATGGACATTTCTGTGAGTGAGAGAAAGAGAAAGAAAGGAAAAGACGTAATTTAAAATCTAAATCTAATAAATTAGACGTAATCCATGTAATACATGTATATACATCAATAAAGTATAAATCAACGTAATAAAGCATATAATTTCAAAGAGAAATAACTAGCCAATATTTCTGTATGCATAACTGTATCGGCACCACAACTTCCTATCCCCAGATTAAACACACATTAATTAATAATTAAAATTTTCTTTTCACCTTTACGCATATACCACAACCAATGCAGAGTTCCTCCGATATCTTAGCCAACTTATCAGCTGGAGTAGCCTCTATACACAATTTACCTTATAAGGAAAAAAGAGGGAGAGAAAAATTATTGTGTTTTAATTTATTGATTTTATTTTTTGAAGGATAAATAATAGCCTTCATTTCTTCCTTACCCATTTTGTTAACAGGGCAGGACCTCCTGCACTCTTGCTTGCATTTCTTTGGTTTGCAACGGTCGCTGTTGACAATGGCAATCCTTGTCAACTTGTCAGCCATCTTCTCTTTCACAAACCACGTGTCAAACAAACGCCATTTTGTTTGTGGGCGTGGCTCAACACCGCCTATTTGTTGTCATGGCTACTCTAACACCAATGGCAGGGGAAGCCAATTCATTGGCCTTGCTCAATGATTTACTGCACCCTCCAGAAAAAGAGGGCCAGGATGAAGATCAGGTGAGGTCCATACAGCCTAAAGCAAGCCTTGATATTATTATTTCAGCCAGAAAAGGTGACTCCTTCTCCATATGCCCACCCTGGCTCAATTGGCCCCCCAGCTTCATCAACCACTAGAGAGAAGGAGAGGAGTGACAAGGGTATATGGGACCAAGAGGAAGTCCAGGAAGCAACTGAAATCGCCTTTGATGATGACAGAGCAGAACCAGAGTGAGTACCTCATAGTTATGTGAGGTATTTATTGGCTATCAATGGAGGTGTTAAAAACCGAGGCCATTTAGCTCAATAGTGGAGTGCTAATGTGCCAAGAACCTGATTCATTCTGTCTGGCTCCCATCTGGGGAATGCTTGGGGCAAACAACTTGGGACAAATTTATGAATGAGTGGAATTTATTTTTGTTGCAAAAGCCTACATGTATGTTTATACATTTAAGGAATGGATAGCTAAATTCTACATTCAAATGCGCCGCATATAAGCGTCTAATCTAGTACAATTACTTAGGAGATTTTCTCGATAATAATCATTTTTATTACTTTTTATTTTCTTTGTCCACTTTACTCTCAAGATATGAAATGATGTTCAAGCAGGCAGTAACTACGGAAGACATATTCCTTGGCATGACAAACAAGACACCACTCACTTCAGCTTGCGAAGACTTGTTTGTAAGTTTAAAATAACACAAGCAACGCCTTTTATTTCTAATGACAAATTGAAAGTTGTATATGTAATCACAAGTCTTTCTTTCCTTCTGTTTCACTCTCTATCTTTCCTCTCCTCCTCTTTTTTCTCTTTCTCTATACTACATGCAGTTAAGAATACACCTTCCTAATGTACAGTATAAGGATGTGGATTTGGTAGTAACAAGCAAGCACATTGATTGCCAGACTCCAATACAGTAAGAGCAAGAGAGAGAGGGGGGGGGAGAGAGAGAGAGAGAGAGAGAGAGAGGAGAGAGAGAAGGTCGGTGTGTAGACTGAAAGGTTAGGCGTGTGCATAATGTGAATCCTTGTTTTTGTTTCAGTGTTGACTTATGAACTGTAGCATGGTCTTAATCTACCACTTTATATTTCTCAATATCATAACAGCATAATCTCAATGCATATCCTCATGATTATGTTTGTGTTTGTGTGGATAGTCAGGATTGGTAATTTGTTAATGCTATTTTAGCTACATACGTGCATCATGACTATGTGTATAGTAACTATTGTCTCTCTTTTCCTCCTTCTTCTCGTCTCTTCTTCCAGTCATTTAGGTCTATATCTTCCTCATACAGTCGATCACAAGAGTGGTAAAGCAAAATGGCTAAGCGAAGAGCAGATATTAGAAATAACACTAAGAGTGACAAGGGAATATGATTTCCTTAATAAATGAATAATGAAGAAATGAACTTGATATCTCTGAGACTATAATGAATCCATTCACTCCTTTTAATTATTTTAATCCTCCTTTTCTTTGTCGCTCTCGTTTCTCTGCCTTATTTCTTTTGTATCCTTCTTTGTCTTCTCTCTCCCTCTCTGTCTCTCTCTCCAAGAATCCGTACATTGATGTTCTCTAATTTTTGTTTACAGTATCATATTGTTATTGCATTAGAAATATTTAATTAGGGCAGTTAGAATGACACTATGTATTGTTTTAGTAAAGAAATGCCTCCATAAGGGGCACAAGTACTGCTGGAATGATTGCGGTTTGCAGTAATGCGATAAAATCTCCATCAGCCACAATCTATTATTCATAGACAAAGTGCAGGGGGACAAGATTCACAACCCAGATAGACGGTGACGTCATATGGTTGCTAGGGGTCGCTATGGACCTGACCAATCAGAATAGAGTACATAGCCGCCCACTTCCTCCCAAGTTCACCAAAGTCAACCCGCAGCCCTTGCAGCTTCACAGTCGCCCTCGGATCTGCTGTCTCTGCCTGCTTTAGCTTATATCGTCAACGTTTTCAAGAGAAAGTAAGTCCAGAGAGGGCTGAGAGGCTCCTTGCAACCCAGCAATGCCTTCCCCTACCCCCACTCTTTCCTAACTCCTAAGACTTCTAATTGCCTCGTGGTGTCCACCCTGGATGGACTCCACTGATACTCATCTCCATCTTTTGATATTGTCATTTGTTTTCTGTAGCTATTCATCATGTCTGACAAGCCTGACGTATCTGAAGTAACTAGCTTCGATAAGTCTAAGCTGAAGAAAACCGAAACCCAGGAGAAGAACCCTCTTCCAACTAAAGAGAGTGAGTAACAGCTGTTACCATTTGCACCCGTTTACACATGTTCCTTTTCTCTCCCTCTTACAGCTATCGAACAAGAAAAGTCTTCTTAAGCTGTCTTCTCTCTGTATCTCGTGTTGTAGTTATGACCTGTCTGTCTATTAACTCTTAACTTAAACAGTTCCACTCTCTTTTCTCGACCTCCCCCTCTCTCTTTTCTCCTGCTTTGTGGTGGTGAGAATGAGGAGGGGGTGGAAGGAAGAGAGAGTGTGTACTTTTATGTTTCAAATTTAAGTCTCTTTAACTTGTGTTATTATTATTTAGCAGTGAATAGAGAGTTATTACAATTATTATTATTATTAAGCAAAAGCTGGTAGAAATTAATCTTATTATTATGCTCTCTTATTATTTTTGTTTTGATCAGACCATTTTTGAAGAGAAAACCTGTTAAAGAAATGACATTGTCAAATGGGGTAGACCTAGACCATAGTGGCTACTATAATTACCATTATGAGTAGTGTAGTACTATGCTATTCAATGCCACACACTTGGTTAAAGTGGATTCATTATACAGCATAGTTGCTAAGATAACAAAAACCACTTCCATCTTAATAGCCTTATTTCAAATTAGAAGTGTAACAGCTGGATTGTAATCATTTTATAATACAATATAAATAATATATACAAAATGCTGCGGCAAATGCAAGAACAAAGTTATTAATATGCTTCGGCCATTTTCTTATATCCGCCGATCCATTTATTGATGTTGTCTTTGTGAATGTTGCGAGCGGCTTTCACAGAATCCGTATCCATGGGATTCGCTTCTCTAAGATCTAAATGATGAGCGCCATCATTGATGATAACTGCAATGAGAGAATCGGAGATATTGTCCAAGACAACACCAGCACTCCATGGATCCAGATCACCATTACTAAGAGGAGGGAGGGAGGGAGGGGTGGGTCAAGGGATGGAAGAGAGAGATAGGCACTAATTAAAAATATCTTTATCAATACTCATTACAATAGTACACCACATTTATCATAACAAAGTGAGAGTGACAAAAGAATACACACACACAAACAAACACTGTCAGAGGCCCACCCTACACAAACCAGTCAAACCTGAAGACAATATTTGAAAAAGCTGATATATTCTTTCCATTGTAAACCTTCTCTATCCAATAGGGGCGTGGCTGAATGCCAGGAAAACTATCTTGACAATTCTTAACGTAATTATTAACTGTCCACTACACAAGAGAGAGAGAGAGAGAGAGGGAGAGGGAGAGAGAGTTAGGTGTAAAGAAAGCAATTACTTCCTGTGTTTCACACAGTGCAGCCAAAAATTATACGGTGATGAGTTTATACAGGAGGATATTATATTATAAATCTCTCTCTCTCTCTCTCTCCTTACTTGTTGCTTGGGGAAGGCATCATTGTCTCCTCCTTTGCTACACATTGGCATAGCCATCTCAGTACAATACTAGACATAAAAAGAAATCAAGAAAGAAGGAATGAAAGCAGAGAAATGGAGAAGGAAAATGACTTCATAATAAAATGGTGGCTCATGCATATGTATTTCTTTCTTATATACATGTACCTGGTAGGACCATCCTTTTGCTCCCAGATCTGTTGAACTCTCCTTGTTTAAATCCAGGCAGCTGCTCTGACCTGAGTAATTGTAATACACCTGCATTGCTGTGGATAAAGCTTGTAACAGCTGTGTGTGTGTGAGAGAGTAAGTGAGAAATTAGAGTAAGAATGTTTTGAAGATAAGGGATAGGAAGAGAGAGAAAGAAAGAAAGAGAGAATGGAGTAACATGAGTATTAAAATGAACAGAGATAGAGAGAGAGAAGTATATACATGGATGTACAAGTATGTTTAGCAGAAAGAGAGAGAGAGAGAGAAAGAGGAAAATAAAAGAGACAAACAAAGAGACACAGATAATGAGAGAGTAAGTGAGATGGAGGAATGACTACTACTAATCACTCAACTGACAAATCGCACTCCTCTCAAGAATACAAAACAAACTCGCTATTCCAGATTATTGTACTGCCTACAAAACTAACAGAACAGCTGGGGAGTTGTATTAACCATATGCTACGAACCCAACAGATACACACAAGCCTTGTTGACATACAAAAGTGCATTAGATATAACATAGCAAGAAGACTGCCAATTAATATCATTATTATTATGATTTTTACTTTAATATCATCATCTTCAGTTGTGAAAGTCTGTGACAGCTTTTGACAGGTTACCTAATATCACAAATAATATCAAATATAACAATGGCATAATGTCATGATAGTGATAAGAATGAGAGAGCTATCAAAAGAAGATATCAATGCACAAGTACTGGATATCAGTTCCATACTTATACAGTAGCTCATTTATTAATGATAAAAATGATCAAAATCTAAGGCTCAAGGCAGTACAAAGTTTAGTGTAACATGTCTCTCATTCCTGTTCATTCAATGAAAAGAACATGTAACTGTGTGATGTTAATACTATGCTACATGGATGCCAATTTACATGTACATGTTACATATGTACTGTAAAGGTGAGTGTGTGTGTGTGTGTGTGTGTGCGTGCTAGTTAGTGTCATACATTGAGTGGCCAAGCTGGCAATGGTTCCATAAAGTTAGCAGGATAAGGATAATTCACTGGAAAAATGAGAGAGAGAAGTGTGACAGTGATATATAGTAAATATAGAAAAAGAGAGAGGGAGAGAGAGGGAGAGAGAGAGAGAGAGAGAGAGAGAGGGAGGGAGAGTAGGAGAAAAAGTAGGAGAGAGAGAGAGAGAGAGAGAGGAGAGGGAGAGAGAGAGAGGAGGGGTGAGCAGTAAGTAAAGTGAACAATAGATAAAGGAGGGTATACATGTGAAAAGTGGGTGGATAAATGATAAAATGTTTGATAAAGACACACAGAGACACACATACATGTACACTCAGCAATGCCACTACTACTGCCACTACTACACATGCTTCTAATTAAGCTACTCACTCATGGCCAAGTTAAACCAAACGTCTTGTAGCCAAGACATAAGTGTCAATGAATCCTTAAGTGGCTGGCAGAGAGAGAATGTGGTGGAGAGGAGAGACAGACCACCTAAACCACATAAAAACAATACTAAACGGCTTCCCATTAGAGAATAGGACACAAATAAATTAAGTGTGCACCTGGGACTCACCTGAGGTGGTCCCAGTTTTATTTATGATGTCCCAAGAGCTGAGGACATTGTTGTAGCAATTAGTACTGTATTGGCTCATTGTGGAGGATATAATCTCATTTGCTTTCTGGGGAGAAGGAGGTGGGAATGATGGAGAGAGAGAGGGGGGGAAGGATAGAGGAAGGTGGAGAGAGAGAACAAGATGGAAATGTAAAGAGAGAAGGAATGACTCTGTATTACATACCCCACAGTCACACAAACCAGGAAACTGCCAAATAGGAGCTGAAGCTGCTATTGAACTAAAAGAATAAAAGAAAGAAGGAGAGAGAGAAGGGAAGGATGGGCAGAGAAAAGAGAGTGAGAGAGAAAGACATGTCATGAGGATTATTATTATACACTTAAGAGAGGCTTTATGATTGTTGTTGGTCATATTTGGATAATTAAATGTAAAAGGATATGTATCATGTATGATAGTAAAGGCCAAAACTATTATTAAATCATTACAATAAAAGGAAACCAATCATTAGTAGACTATCCACCTACCCAACCACAACACTAGGATACTTCATCCTTATCCAGGCTGAGAGCATTCCTGGAGAGAAAGAGGGGGAGAGAGAGAGAGAGAGAGAGAGAGAGAGAGAGAGTGAGAGAGAGTGAGAGAGAGACAGAGGCAGAGACAGAGAGAGACAGAGACAGAGAGAGAGACAGAGAGTGAGAGAGAGACAGAGTGAGAGAGAAAGAGAGAGAGAGTGAGAGAGAGAGGGGAGGTGAAAGAGAGAGGGAGAATGTAAATGACACAAAAATTAAAGAAAAGGAAGTGAGGAAAGACATGCATAAATAGGACAAAAAAGAGAGCATAGTAAAGCATATAGAAATAGGTCAAAGTACCTCCATATGATCCACCAAATGCTACCACAGGAACATCTCCATACTTGCCCTTCAAATCATTTATCAGCAAAACAAAGTCGGCCAGTGCCTGCTCTGACGTGAGGTAGCCTAAGGTACTCAAGTTGGCATAGGATTCTGCTCCAAATGGTAGAGTATTCCCGTAGTACCGGTGCTCGGCAAACACTACGAGAGCCTTGAATTCAGGGGCTATGTCCCAAACAAAACCCTGAGAGAGAAAAAATTAAAATCATATTATATTAAAAGAATAACATATGTCACATTGTAAGATGTAGCAACCTTGTATAACCTTGTAGCACATGATTTTGACAAAGACAGAGAAGCATAAATAATGTAATATCATCGTTACTATAATTAGCATCATAAATAGATTACAGTATCATTATACACACTAATTATCTCTTAAGTGAAATAGAATAAGAGTATAGACTTACTTAGTCAATAGTAATTATAACATGTTATAGAGTAGAGCAGGGTTTCCCACAAAGCATGCTAAGTGAGCTAAACAGCACTATAATAGAGTGCATGACTTTTGTAGCAACTTTTTAAAAAAATCATAAAAAATCCAATTTTGATTGGAATGTGCTAAAACTTTCTAAGCAACATAAGTACATGTATATGCATCAAAAAATATATATAAGTGGGGAAATGTCTTCTTTTCAATTTCGGAAAAATTTGGCTCGAGACCATGTACTATAGTACAGGGACTTTATTCAAATTTTTGAGTGACTTAAAAAATTCATTAAAAATTCAATTTCGATCAGAACCAGCTCAAACTTTCTACACAACATAAAAACATGTATATGCATCAGAAAATGTAATAAAAATGGAGAATTCTCTCTTAGTCATTTTTGGTGAAATTTGGCCCCGACCATGTACTATAGTACAGGGACTTTGCTCAGATTTTCGAGGAACTTTAAAAATTCGTAAAAAATCTAATTTTGATTTGAATTCACTCAAACTTCTATACAACATAAGTACATGTGTATATGCATAAGAAAAAAACTTAAAAGTGGAGAATTCTGTCTAGCAATTTTTGGCAAAATATCCCGCAAAAGTCGTGGCAGCCATTTTGAAGTGGGGTGAATCCTATTTAGTAATGCTACTGCGTTTTTTAAAATAGTACAGGGTATTGGAACAACTTTTAAAAATCTACTAAAATGAAGTTAAAATCTATGCCAAAATCATGTGAAAAAAGCTGGAATAGAGTGTCCTATTTACAAGTTGATACATGCAATCAGAAGCTCATGATCTTCTCTTGAATATAATACATACATGTACAGTATCCCACATTCCTATAAAAAGTTATTCCAGTTTTTCTTGGGTCAAACTCAGTTGGGATGTAGTAGTACATGTCTACATGACTACATGTACAAGTCAAGTACATGTACATGTAGTCATGTATGAGTAGGTTGTATATACATGTATTACTGCTACATGTGTATTATCTAATAAAGGATAGTTGAAGAAAATTGCATACATCATGTACATGTAACAGTCTAGTCTTATGGACTGGTGACTGATGAGCTATTGACAATTAATTAAAGAAAAATTCCATTCTTATGTAGGCCCAAAAGGTGCAAAAAATTAAATTATAAATGCAATAAAAATTGTAGATGGTGCTCAAAAAATTTTTGATCTGAATCACAATATTCCAAATTCACGTAAGGAGATTCAGCTATAGGGAGGGCTGATACATGAATAAAGAGGAAAGCAGCTGACTGTAGAACTATGAATAATGATACTAAAATTCATTTCTATTGTGTTGTAATTGGTAATTATAATCATAATTCAATTAATCATTCAGCAATGCAATCCAATAGTTCGTTAAGAATGGGCGTGGCCAGGCAACTAACCGTGTTATTAGCAAACCACGTTATATCTCCTTCATTTCCACAATAAAAGAATATCGGACCACCATTGTCTTTGTCCCAGAATGCATCATTGAGCAAATAACGCTGAGAAAACGTGACGTTTGACTCAAAGTTAAAATGATCAATCTAAAATGAAAGTAGGTGTGGTTAGAAGGTTTGTTCTTTTAGTGTTTTTTTCACTCACAGGTTGCTTAAAATACAGTGTTTGATACTCGTACGAGCTCTCACTATTTCCTCTTGGTAAATTTTTCAGTGATCTGGGGTTTAGTAAACCAGACGTGTATGAGACTAGAATGAAGAGGAACAAAGAGAAGGATGAAATCCGAGTAGCCATGTTTTGTGGGCGGGGATTAGCTTCAGTCACGCCTTTAACTTTTAAAATTAAAAAAATGTAAAATCCAGTTCATGCCCAAGTAAATTGAAGAAAAATTTATGGAGTAGGCAGCATAAATTTAGATAAATTTAAAGGTCAAAACTTTGCAGTCAGTCAGGCTTACTTCACATCAAAGCAGCTTACAGGTTTTGTACAAAAAGAGAAAATTAAAGTATCTTCACATTTAAATGTAGGCCTTAAACATGGTGAAAATAGCTTGTTGAAAAAACTACTGACTGAACTAGCTCCATCATGCTACTACTTTTCTCAGTTTTCTCTTGTCTAACAATACAGAGACCAGGTGTAGTTCAGTTGTCACTCAAACATTTCTAATATTGAAATCCCTCATTCTGGCACTTCATACAATCCATCATTCAAGGATCATCAGGTATATATATAGCCATCAGTAGTTATAACCATTCATAGCAGTGTTTTATTGTATCTATTTAACATGCAATTGTAAATATGGTCAGTGGCACGTGGTACGTGGTACCAATTTAAAAACTGTTGATCACTGTAAAATTTAGAAATTAATTAGATCGAAAGATGTGGGGAAGCCTTTGAAAAAGTAGTTGTTTACAATTTGGTGCCAGAAATTTATTTGTATGTTGTTGGAAAGTTTGCTTTATATGCCAAGCTACTTAGCTACATGATTCACGGTCATCACAAGCATACCAATGACTTGTCCTGTCGACTTTAGTTTGACAAGAATGTCTAGTTCTTACTGTCTTACCTTTCTTCTCTCCTTCATTGTCCTATTGTATGAAGCTAATGCCTCATCAGGTATGGGTCACTGTACTACTGGCTATCGTACTCCTTCCCTCTATCACCAGTACTGCTGCTTATCTGCTAATAATGGAAAAGCTTTTAAAATGAATGAAAGTAGTTCTTACACATACATTTTCTGTCCAACTGCTGGTCTACCAAAGGCTTTATGTTACTCATTGGGATTAATCAAATTTTATTCTTGCAGTGAAGTATTAGAGAACATTCCCAATACAGCATCAGGCTATTATAGCATCAGTCAAAGTAATGGGAGTATTGTTAGTGTGTACTGTGATATGGAGGGTAATAACTGTGATGGTAATGGTGGCTGGATGAGAATAGGATACATTAACATGACAGAACCTGGTGCTACCTGTCCTCAAGGTCTCTACAACTACACATATGGAAACAAAACACTATGTGATAAATCTCATAATTTAGGAGGTGGATGCAGTGCAACATTCTTTTCAGCAATTGGATTGAACTATACTAAAGTCTGTGGACAGGCCAGAGGATATCAGCTTGGAACTACTGATGGTGTTTATGGAGGCTCTCCAAACATTGATGGTGCTTATGTTGATGGTTTATCAATTACTCATGGAAGCAACCCACGCCAACATATCTGGACTTATGCTGTTGGAATTGCTTCAAATGAGACATCAGCATATTCATGTCCCTGTAATACTGGGACAACAGCTACTACACTTTCATATGTTGGTGATGATTACTACTGTGAATCAGGAGCAACAACCTCAAATATCCTGCGTAATAAATTTTATCCTGATGACATAATGTGGGATGGTCAGCAATGTGATTTTTTTGAGTCTC